AGTCCAGCCTTCCATCCCCACAGACCAGCCTGTCACTCCTGAGCCCACATCTCGGGTCACTTGGGGCAGGACACGTAGGTCCTCTGTCAAGACTCCTGAACCAACTGTCCCCACAGTCCCTGAACTCCAGCCTTCCACCTCCAAAGACCAGCCTGTCATCACTGGGCCCATATCTGGGGCCACTCACAGCAGGACACATAGGTCTTCTGTCAGGACTCCTGAGCCAATTGTCCCAACAGCTCCTGAAGTCCAGCCTTCCATCCCCACAGACCAGCCTGTCATCCCCAAACCCACATCTCGGGGCAGGACATCGAGGTCTTCTGTCAAGACCCCTGAGCCAGTTGTCCCCACAGCCCCTGAGCTCCAGCCTACCACCCCCAGAGGCCAGCCTGTCACCCCCAAACGTACATCTCGGGGCAGGACATCGAGGTCTTCTGTCAAGACCCCTGAGCCAATTGCCCCCACAGCCCCTGAACTCCAGCCTTCCGTCTCCACAGATGAGCGTGTCACTCCTGAGGCCACATCTCGGGCCACTCGGGGCAGGACACGGAGGTCCTTTGTCAAGCTCCCCCAACCAACTGAGCCCACAGCCCCTGACCTTGAATCTCTCACCCCCACAGATCAGCTGGTCATCCCCAAGGCTCAGGATAGTCAGGATAAGACACTGAGGTCTTCTACAATAAGTGCTGTGCCAGTTCTTACCACCCCTGAATTCCAGTCTCCTGTCCCCACAGACCAGCCTATTCCCCCTGAGCACATCCCTCAAGCCAGTTGCAGCAGGAGGCTGAGGGCCACTAGGAAGCATGAGTCCCTCACAGCTCCCATTGTCCGTGAGCCCTACTCTGCACTCCCTGAACCTAAATCTCGGTCCTCAAGGAACCAAAGACAAGGAACAGTGAGAGTAGTTGAGTCCCTCAGGACCATTCCCAAGCCTGCCTTTGCCCAGCTTCCTGAGGCCCCCACTCACACTACCCAGATCCAAAAGGTAGAGGCAGCAGGAAGATCTGAGTTCACCCCAGAGCCCCTGCCTAAGGCCTCTCAGACCCGCAAGAGGCCTTTGGCTACGGTGGATTCACCCCCACTTCAAAAACGGCTCCAAAGAGGGGAAGTCACCCGGAAGACAGTTTTCCTCAAGGAAGAGGAAGAAGATCCAATGGAGAGGCCAAGGAAGGAGGAGGTGAGGAGAGGGCCGGGGCCGTGAAGCTAGGAAAGGGCTTAGAGGCTCAGAAACTTCCAGCAAGATCTTTCTCAATCCCAGGATGTAGTGGTTCCAGGACCAGGCAAGAGAAAGAGAGACCAAGCAGAGGAGGAGCCCAAGGGAATCCCAAGCCGCAGCCTTCGACGGACCAAACCTAACCAAGAGTCCACAGCCCCCAAAGTAGGAGAGAAAGGGCATGGGGCTTGGTGGGAGACAGACATGGGAGGATGGGAGGATGGGAGGAGACCTAGGGGTTTGGTGACAGGTGCTGATGGCATGGGTTGCTGTGACCATCTCAGGTTCACCCCTTCCACAGGTACTCTTCACAGGAGTGGTGGATGCCCGTGGAGAGCGGGCAGTGCTGGCCCTGGGAGGGAGTCTGGCCAGCTCAGTGGCAGAGGCTTCCCACTTGGTGACTGATCGAGTCCGACGCACGGTCAAGTTCCTCTGTGCCCTGGGGCGGGGGATCCCCATCCTCTCCTTGGACTGGCTGCACCAGGTGAGAGTCTAAGAGGTGACATATCATCAGAGATACTGATGGCGAAAAACTACTCACGTGGTGCTCTAGGAAGTAGTCGGGGGAAAGGGGGTACAGGAGGACAAGGGAGGTGAATGAGGCGGAAAGCTTAATTCAAAGAACATTTCATAAGCTCCTTCCAAATGCTAGGCAGAAGAGCTGGGTGGTGGGCTGGGCTGAGCTTTGGTGCTGACTGCTACTGTCCTTAGTCCCGCAAGGCTGGTTGCTTCTTGCCCCCGGATGAATATGTGGTGACTGATCCTGAGCAGGAGAAGAACTTTGGCTTCAGCCTTCGAGATGCCCTGAGCCGGGCTCGGGAGCGAAGGTTGCTGGAGGTGAGAGGCTGTCTTCTGCCCCATGCTTCAGCCTTCCCTCCAGAGGCTCCCCAGCTGTTCATGGCCTCTCAGTGCATACATTTATGGCCTCCAACATTCTCTTCCTCTTAGGGCTATGAAATCCACGTGACCCCAGGAGTCCAGCCACCACCACCTCAGATGGGAGAGATCATCAGCTGCTGTGGAGGCACTGTTCTACCCAGCATGCCCCGGTCCTATAAGGTATGGGTGGTATGTTTTGGATCTGGTGAGGTGGCACTTAAAGAGGTGGCTGGAATGGGAAAAGGTTGGAGAACCAAACGGGTATGGACGGGAACACAAGAGTAGTGAGAGGGTGAGGGGAAGCTCTGTAGTGTGTAAAGGGATAGGAATGAAGAAGTCTGCTGATTCCGAGTGGATTTATTTTCATTTTGTATTTTAAAATTTTTCAAATATACACAAAGGGAGAGAGAATCTCTATTATCAACGAACCTCCATATATCAATCATTCAGATTTAACAAGGTAGTTTAGACTTTGCTACATTTTCTCCATTTATTGCTTTTTTTCTTTTTCTTTGCCAAACCATTTTAAAGGAAACTGCAAACATCATATTATTTCCCCCTACATACTTAAAGTACACTTCTCTAAGAAATTATGTACTTTTTTTTTTTTTACATAATCACAATGCCATTATTGATCCATAACAAAATTAACAATAGTTTCTTGGTCATTTTCTTATACTCCATTAGACAGATTTCTCCAGTTGGCCAAAAATGTCTCTTTGCGGTTCAAGTCAGGATTCAAACGAGATCCATGTATTGCCACAATTGCATATCTCTTAATTTTCTCTTACTCTAGAAAAGATCTCCCCCAACCCACCCAGCCTTTTTTTTTTATTCCATTGACTTCCTACAGAAACTAGGTCAGTTGTTCTTTAGAATGTTCCAGTCTGGGTTTTTCTGTTTGCTCCTTTGCTGTGCGATTTGTCTTGTTCTTCTTTTACATTCCTTGTAAACTATAGTTAATTTTAAAAGCTTGAATAAATTCAGGTTCAGCTTTTCTGGCAAGAGTACTTCTGACAAGTATGCTTCATATCAGGAGGTCTATTTTAGTGATGCTGAAACTGATTAGTGGGTTCTGAACCTATTTCTAGGATTCTTTTTCACCCCTGACTTTGTCTTTGCTGTCTGTCTTTCCCCAGCCACAGAGAATTGTGATTACATGCTCCCAGGACTTCCCTCGATGCTCTATTCCATTTCGGGTTGGCCTGCCCATCCTCTCACCTGAGTTCCTGCTGACAGGAGTGCTGAAGCAGGAGGCCAAGCCAGAGGCCTTCATCCTGTCCACTTTGGAAATGTCATCCTCCTGAAAACATCACCACAGTACTCTTTTCTCTCCCAGACCAGTAAATAAAGTGTTAGAAAAGAATTGGAAGAAAGAACCTAGGGCTCTAGAAAGGATTGGGGTATACTGACCTGATTTGTCTTGGAACATGGGTGGGGCTGAAACGGCTTATGGGTAAACAAAAAGATAGAGTTGGAGCCACTGATTTCTTAAAGGGCCACTTAGAGTTGGGTAATCCCATACTCAGATATCTTAAGTGGCTACCCTTAGCAGGACTGATGTCGTTACTGCTCTGTGGCACACACAGTGTCCTGCCTCTTGTTTGGAAGCCATTTCTCTTCCTCTTTTACTGGGATTCTTACTCGTCCTCTGAAAGATAGTGGAAACAGTTTTAGTGTCAAGAACTTGAAGGGATGCTTGCAGTGGGTAATTTTGAGGTTGGAGTTGTGGAATGCTCTAAAATCTTTTCTTTTCACTCCATCTTGATAGAAGTGTTCTTTAGCTTTGACTTTGAGCTAATCTCTACACTTTTCTGGCCTGCTTTCCCAGTATTTATAAAATTAGAGCTTAGGTTTAACCTCTGATAAATAAATATTCACTCTGTGCCTTATGGTGTAGTGCAGTTTTTTTAAACATATTTGAAATTTAAATTTTACTTATTTTTTTATTTTTATTTTTAAAGTAAGCTCTATACCCAACATGGGGCTTGAACTCACAACCCTGAGATCAAAAGTCTCACGCTCCACCAGCTGAGCCAGCCAGGTGCCCCTTAAATTAAAAGTTGGTTGATTACAATGATGTGGAGAAATTGGAACCCTTATTATATACATTGCTGGTAGGACGATAAAATGGTTCAGCTGCTGTGGTAAGTAGTCTGACAGTTTCTCAAAAAATTAGACATAGAATTAGCAAATTAGACATAGAATTACCAAATTACCATACTAATTACCATTAGTAGGCATATACCCAAAAGAACTAAAACTTGTGTTCAAACAAATACTTGTACACAAATATTCATACCAGCAGTTTACAAGAACCAAAAGGTGAAAAGAAAAATGTCCATCAGCAGTTGAATAAATACATGCAGCATATCCACACAATGGAATATTATTCATCCATAAAAGAGGATGAAGTACTGATTCGTGCTACAGTGTTTTGAGGATGAACCTCAAAAGCCTTATGCTAAGTGAAAGGAGCCAGACACAAAAAGTCACCTTGGATGATTCTACTTACATGAAATACCTGGAATAGGTAAATGTATAGAGACAGTAGAGTGGTGGTTGCCAGGAGCTGGGAGAAAGGGAAAATGGGGAGTGACTGCTTAATGGGTTCAGGGTTTTATTTTGGAGTGATGAAAATGCTTTGGAACTAGATAGAGGTGGTGATTACACACATTATGAATGTATTAAATGTCACTGGATTTTTCTCTTTAGTTAATTTTATGTTATGTGAATTTCACTTCAATAAAAAAAGATGGGTGATTAGTTTGTGACTTTTCTGCAAGTAAATTATACTTAAGTTTGTAAAACTTTGGTGTAGTAGAATGAGTGCGAGCTCTGCTGACTTTTAACACTGCTGACTTTTAAACATATAAACATGTCTTAATATATATTAAGCACAGCCATTGTAGGTGTGGCATGTGGTAGGACCCAAATAAATGTTAGTCCCCTTGCACAACTCAGAGTCTGTACTGTGTGAAACCTGTCTATGGCCTGCAGGTCCAGGGGATTCCTTACAGTACCAGCTGTCTCTATATCCCCCTTTAGCACTCATGTGCACTCTTACTTAGTGACATGGAAGTGCCCCAGTTTAAATTTCTTACACTTTCAAAAAATACGATAGCTTGTAGCACAAATAAGAAGTATCTCTGTCACTCAGGGTCCTAGCAGGAAATGACGGCACAGTCAAATTAGGGTAATTTGGAGAGAGGTTTTTTTGTTTTTGTTTTTTTAAGATTTTATTTATTTATTTATGAGAGAGAGCACATGAGAGGGGAGGGTCAGAGGGAGAAGCAGACTCCCTGCTGAGCACAGAGCCCGATGCGGGACTCGATCCAGGGACTCCAGGATCATGACCTGAGCTGAAGGCAGTCGCTTAACCAACTGAGCCACCCAGGCGCCTGGAGAGAGTTTAATAAAGTGAAATTTACAAAGAAGTTGGGAGAGTGTAGAGAAATCATAATGTTGCAGTACTCCAGTACCCACAGCTCTATTGTGACCACCTCTAAGTCCTAAAGGTTGAGAGGAGGAAGCGGTTTTGCAGAGGGCTTCCTCAATAAAAGCTGTGATTTTCATTGATCTAGTCCATTCAGGACAACCTCTTGAAGCAGAAAGCAGGGTGGTGGTTGCACCTGGAGGGGAAAATATGTCTGGTAACAGTTTACAACAGCATTGATTAAGAGGAGAGTAGGAGTACTGAGCCTGTGGGAGGAGGAATGTAAAGGCTGTGGGATGCTGCCTGGCAATTTTTTCATTCATGAGCCCACATGACTAGCAGCAACTTAGTTCTCATCTTGGTAAATTTTCTATTTCTTCTGTCTATAAGCCAAGGGATTTCACTTAATGATGTCTGAGTTCTCTGCGATGGTCATAGCTACTGTGACTAGGTCCATAGCAACATGATCTTTAATTCTGATGGAGGAAAACCTTTTACTTTGCTTTTCAGCTATATTAGTCTAGATATTACAAACAGGTCGGAAGGAAAAATATGTTCAGACAAAAGGTCTTAGCGATTTCTCACTAGTATGTGGGGTCAGACTAATAAGCTTGCAGAGTGAAGTCATAGTTAATTATCACAGGCTTGGATAAAATTAGCCTACTACAAAGTTTACAACAAATAAAATTTTCTATCACAAATATTTTAACATTGTTACTCTCATGATTACAAATCAACAGCCTTTGGCATTATTAGAAATCATCTGTAAGTGTCAGAGAAGTTTTCTGTCCTTGGCAAGTGGAGAGAGTAAGTTACGGAATAAACATTACTTTATGGTAAAATAGTCACTAACTCTTTAACAAGATGTAATAGGTGATTCAGAGCTTTGGGTTCTCAGCCTAGGTCAACAGTCTTCCGTTCTCTCACCGTTTATAATTGAAGTGTTAACTGAGGCTTTGTAACCTCTGACTCTGGCTAGGTTTTCTGGCTAAGGTTACAGAAAAGGGGACTGATAATTCTCGGTTTCTACAAGAACCCTGAAAGAGAGGAACTGTCTTCATTTTAGATGAGACAACCAGCCGAGCTGCGACTCAACCCACTCGAGTGGCTGCAGAGCCGCTGCCCTTTCCTCTTGCCACTCGGAATTCTAACTTTCCCTTCTGTGACGCAGCGACTGCTAGCTCCATAAAGGCACCCAGGACCCGCCCTGCGGGCAGAGAAAAGGGCGCGCCGCGGACGCGAGCCCTGGCATTTGAGCGAAGGCGCCCCGCCTTCCTGGGCAGGGACCCCGGGAGGGGGCGGGGGCGGGGCGGGGCCTGTAGCCGCGGGAATCCCAAGCCCGTCCCCTTCCCCACCCCTCCGTGTGTCGCCATGGCCCCAGCTCTGCTCCTGATCCCTGCTGCCCTCGCCTCTTTCATCCTGGCCTTTGGCACCGGAGTGGAGTTCGTGCGCTTTACCTCTCTTCGGCCACTTCTTGGAGGGATCCCGGAGCCTCGTGGTCCGGGTGAGCGGGAGGGATCGAGGATGAGCTCTAGGGCTGGAGGTGGAGCCGGACGAGAGGGAGGGAGGGCGGGGCCTGGAGACAAATGACAGGGGAAGTCCGGGAGAGGGAACTAGAACCGTGAAAGCCGGAGAAGCCGGAGAAGCTTCAGGACAGACCAGAAGGCTAAATTAGGAACTCAGGGATTAGCGGTTTGGAGAGGCAAGAGAGTGAGGACTGAGTGGGGTGGAAAAGGGCGATAAGCAGAGGAAAGGAAAGTGCTTTTAAAGAGAGGACTATGGAGGGGAGAGTGTTCAAAAGAGGGAGCATTTGGAGTACCGAAAGAAGAGGGTCAGTCCAACGGTTGCCTCTCCAGCCATGCTTTTTGTGACTGTATAGGAATCCTCCTCCCCACTCTGAAGGAGGAAGAAGCAGGGAATGGAAAAGCAAGGTGGGCAAAGCCTGGAGAGGAAGCATTAAGACTCTTGAAAGCATTAAGGGGATATGGCCTGGGTCCCCAAAAGGAGAGTAGGATTGGGGGTGTTTCCCACAAGCCTCTTGATCTTTTGTCCCTTTCTTCAACTCCCCCTAGATGCCCGCCAGGGATGGCTGGCTGCCGTGCAGGACCGCAGCATCCTTGTCCCCCTGGCTTGGGATCTGGGTCTCCTCCTACTATTTGTGGGGCAGCACAGCCTCATGGCAACTGACACAGTGAAGGCGTGGATGTCTCGATATTTTGGGGTCCTTCAGAGGTCACTGTATGTCGCATGCACTGCCCTGGCCTTGCAGGTATGAGGCTTTGGCTACTGAGTCCCAAGGGAAACTATCTGTGAGAAGAGTGTCCTAGATTGGAGGGGCAAGGACCTTAGCCTTCTGAAAATGTGGGTTTAGGAAGAGAACTGAGAGTGTTCAGGACTCTCATCTCAGCTTCCATTCCTCCACAGCACATATCCTCCTTATCAAGAACGGTGTACCTTTCCTCATTCCCCAAGCAGATATGTGCATTCTCACCTTTACAACTTTGTTCATGTTGTTCTGCTTGAGATCCCCTCGGTAACACCTCTTTCAGTGCTACCCTTTCTTCAAAACCACTTCCCTCAGTTTCAAGAGAAGGCTTCCCAGTTAGCATTCATTTGTCTTCTCAGTGAGTGCTTGGCATAAGCTACTTTATGTACCTATCCGGTCACCCCATCCGTTCTGCAAGTCCTCAGGGTAGATACAGGTCATCCTTACATCCTTGGGACCCCACCTAGCACCCTCTATGTGGTGACTCTTTGTTTGTGATGCTCATGGTAGAGGTGGAGAGAGCTGCAGACCAGCCTGGGGTGGGGGCAGCCTCTGGGTCTAGGTCTTTCAAGGGTAGGCTGCTGAGATACCCAACCGCTCATCCTTCCCCAGTTGGTGATGCGGTACTGGGAACCTGTACCCAGAGGCCCTGTGTTGTGGGAGGCTCGGGCTGAACCATGGGCCACCTGGGTGCCCCTGCTCTGCTTTGTGCTCCACGTCATATCCTGGCTCCTCATCTTCAGCATCCTTCTCGTCTTTGACTACGCCGAGCTCATGGGCCTCAAGCAGGTGAGGCTGCCAGATTCCTACCTGAGACCTATGATTCCTTCTAGAATGCCTTTTTCCGTTCTAAGGATTTCCCTCCTCCTCCCGTGCTCTTCCACCTTCCTCTTCTTTCAACTCCCTCACCTACTTCCCTTTCTTATAAGATAGTCTCCCCTCAGCCTGAAACCATGGGCCTCCTGGGACTGGGGAAGGTTCATGAGCCAGAGATGAGGATCAGGGGCCCACGTCTCAGAAGGGTGGTTCTTGGGCCTGAGTTACAGAAGGGGAAGTTTCCTGGAAGGGGAGGAAAGAGGTAACTAAGGTGCAAAAGGGGCTTGATCCCATTTCTAAGCTGTTCTCCCTCCTAGGTGTACTACCATGTGCTGGGGCTGGGTGAGCCTCTGGCCCTGAAGTCTCCCCGGGCTCTGAGACTCTTCTCCCACTTGCGCCACCCAGTGTGTGTGGAGCTGCTGACGGTGCTGTGGGTGGTGCCCACCCTGGGCACTGACCGCCTCCTCCTTGCTCTCCTCCTTACCCTCTATCTGGGCCTGGCTCACGGACTTGACCAGCAAGACCTCCGCTACCTCCGGGCCCAGTTACAAAGAAAACTCCACCTGCTCTCCCGGCCCCAGGAAGGTGAGGCCGAGTGAGGAGCTAACCTGGTTCCGAGCCCTGCACTTCCTCTCCTTTAACATCCAGGCCCTGGCTGCTTCAGACCAGAGGCCCAAATCTGTGGACTGAAGGGGCTATCCCTTCCCCTGCTTGAGCCTCCACTCCTTGGGCCCAGCTCCATACCCTAAATTCTGAGTTTCAACCACTGGACTCCAACATCTACTTCTCACCAACCAGGAAGAGGGGGTGGGGAACTTATCTGTCTCCTCAGTTAGGGCTTGACTCCTCCACCCCCCACCTTAAGAACCTCTTATAAGGAAGAAGGGTGGGCCTGACCACTTCCCTCCCACTGTTCTGCACCTCAGGGATCCCCTTCTCCTCTGGCTTCCCTTTCTAGGAGTGGTACTAGGGTCTGCAGGTTTGATGGTAATGCCTGCCCTTCCAGGCTCCAAGTGCCAGCCCCCTGGCTAGCCTTGCCATCTCCTTAGGCCCTGGCCCTGGGCTCTGTCCTCTAACCTAGTTGAGAGGATCCTCCCACTCTTCATTTTGGGTGACTAAGAGCTCTCTGCTGTCCTGAGGAACACGCACAGCAGAAAAATAAAATTCAGCCTGTTTTTTCTACATATGATATGCAGTCTATCAGTGTCTCTCTAGCTAGAGGGCTGACTTTGGGAAGGAAGGCAAGCGGAGCCCGGCACGCCAAACTCGAGTCTGGGCAGCCACCGCGCCCTCTGGCGACCGCCGAGCGGCGGCCACTCGGGCAGACCCACCCCCACCTCCCCAGGTCGGCCCAGTCCCCCTTCCTCCAAATCCCCCAGTTTCCCTCGCTGCAGACCAGGGGACCCATGGGAGACAGGTTGAAGCTAAAGAGTGGGGCAGCGGCTCAGGTGGGGGAGCCAGTTTCCATGGCCGTTGGCTTCTGAGTACCTCTCCTGCCACCCCCTCTCCACGGGCCCACCACAGCCTGGTGGCGGCCCTGGACCCCGCAGTAACAAAGGCTCGCCGGGGGAGGCGAAAGCGTGGGGAGGAGCGGCAGGAGATGGGAAGGGCGGGCCCGGCTGTAGCAGCTGCTGCTTCCTCTGCAAGTCCCTCGAGGGGCCTGAGTCACGGGCGGCTGCCTTGGGTCGGCGAGCTCGGGGCGAGGGTCCGGACACCTGGGTTCTCCAGGGCTACCGAGAGGGAGCGGGGTGTGGTCCCCGGGGACAGAAATGGAGGGCCGGGGGTTGCGGCGGGAAAAGGGGAGTCCGCGAGCCTAGCCCCACGCGGGGGGTCTCTGGAGCGAGGCCCCGCCCCTCGGGCCCCGCCCCGCGCCCCCTTCCCTCTCCCCATTGTCCTCAGACAAAGCGGTCGCCGCCCCCCGCCCGGCCCCCAGGTCTCTCTCTGTCTCCGTCCCTCCTCCTCGACTCCCTCTTTCCCTCCTCCTCCTCTCCTTCCCTCCTCCTCCTCTCCTTCCCTCCTCCCCTCTCTCCTGTCTCCGGATCTCCCTCGGTCCCACTCTCCTCCTCTTCCTCTCTCCTCCTCCCTCCGGACGCCAGGCTCCTCCGCACCCCCTCCCCTGGGAGCCCCGCTGCCTTGTGAGTTGACTGAGGGGCCTCAGACTTGGGGAGGGGGTGTCTCCTGTCTCCCGTCCCCGGCCCGGACCTTGGGCTGTCTCCTCTTTGTGCCGAGATTGCCTGTCTGAGCGGTCCGAGCTGGGTGGGAATGGCCGGCTATGTCAGGGTTCCCTGAGAGCGGAGACCCGGGCATTGGACTGGCAGGCTCGGGAGAGCAGAGCCGTGGCGCGGGTCCTCCGCACGCCACGGCCCCGGGCCCGGCCGGTGGGAGAGGCAGGCGGCGGGGACGGGACGGGGTGGGGGTGGACGCCAGGGTTCTGGGAACGTGCTGGCAGCCCAGACACCCGGGTTCCGAAAGTCCCCAAGGGAGGGTATTCCCCCCTCCCCCCCCCCGCCCCGAGCTGCCTGGGGGCGGAGTGCCGGGTGGCGGCTGGGGGGCCGGAGAGGCGTGGCCGGAGCGGAGCTGGGAGGGGAGCCGGGACCTCCCGAGCCCGCGCTGAGACGCGCCCGGGCGCCCGCGGAGCTCCATTTCCCCTCTGCCCCCTGATTCCCCTGCTCCCTTAGACCTCTCCACTCCCCGCCCCTCCTCACCTCCCCGACATCCCCTCAGGTCCCACCACCCCCTTTCGGGCGGGATTCCCTGATCTCCCTTCCCACTCTAACCGCCTCTGGGGTAACGGTGGGGAAACCTCGCCTGAACCCTACCTCCATCACCCCCGGCCTCTCTTTTCTCTCTCCTCTCTCATTCCGACTTCTTTTTCCGCCCTCCTCTCCTCTCACATCCTTGGGACTGTCTCTGATACCATTAACCCTGCGCTGCCAAATCTGACTCCTGCCTCTTTGCCCTGAATCTCTATTCTTCCTCTCAGGGCCACGACCCCACCCCCACTTGGCCCACAGCTTTTTCACTTTCTGTTTTCCCCTTTCTTTGCCCTCCATCTTCTCACTCCTTCCGTCTGTCTTTACCCTCAGCTCCTGTGCCCATCTCCGTGTCCCACCTCTCCCCCTCTACTTCCTCTCCCCCCACCCCCAGTCTCACCCCCTGGAGCCTCTCTTTCCTGTTCTCTGGCCCCAGCACTCCCCACCCTCACCTCAGCGCGACCATGGCCACCATCCCAGACTGGAAGCTACAGCTGCTAGCCCGGCGCCGGCAGGAGGAGGCAGCCCTTCGTGGCCGGGAGAAGGCAGAACGGGAGCGTCTGTCCCAGATGCCAGCCTGGAAGCGGGGGCTGCTGGAGCGCCGCCGGGCCAAGCTTGGTCTGTCTCCTGGAGAACCTAGCCCTGCACCTGGGACTACAGAGGTTGGACCTCCAGACCCAGATGAGTCGGCCGTCCTCCTGGAGGCCATTGGGCCGGTGCACCAGAACCGATTCATTCGGCAGGAGCGCCAGCAGCAGCAGCAGCAGCGGAATGAAGAGTTACTTGCAGAGAGAAGGCCTGGGCCTTTGGAGGCCCGGGAGCGGAGACCCAGCCCTGGGGAGATGCGGGATCAGAGCCCCAAGGGAAGAGAGTCAAAAGAAGAGCGGCTCAGTCCCAGGGAGGCCAGAGAGAGGAGGTTGGGGATAGGGGGAGCCCGAGAGTTGAACCCCAGGCCTTCAGAGGCTTTGGACTGGAGGCAGAGCCCAGGAGAGGCTGGAGACAGGAGCTCCAGACTGCCAGAGGCCCGGAAGTGGAGGCTGAGCCCCGGAGAAAATCCAGAGTGGAGTCTGAGACTGGCAGAGCCGGGAGAACAAAGCCCCAGGAGAAAAGATGTGGTGGAAAGTAGACTGAGCCCAGCAGAGCCCACCCAGAAGTTGGGGCTGACAGAGTCCCATAAATGGAGGCCTGACTCTGGAGAGTCTCAGGAACAGAGTTTGGTACAACTGGAGGCATCAGAGTGGAGGCTGAGCTCAGAAAAAGAAAGAAAAGACTGTTCGGAGGAATGTGGGAGAAAAGAAGAGAGACCAGTTCCAAGGCTGGCCTCAGAAGAGATTACAGAGCTGCCGGAGACCCTGACAAGGGAGGCTCCAGACAGCAGCTCCGGAGAAGCGGAGGCAGCAGAGCAAAGGCCCAGCCCTGTGGAGGATGGTGAGAGGGGCCTGAGGCTGACAGAAGGATGGAAATGGACCCTGAACTCTGGAAAGGTTCGAGAATGGACACCCAGGGACACAGAGACTCAAACTCAGAAACCAGTCCCCCCAGAGTCTGCTGAGAAGTATCTGGGGCCTCTTGGTACCGAGGCTGGAGAAGGGGAGGCTGAGAAGGAGAAGGCGGGGGCTCAGGGCAGGCCTCTGAGAACCCTGCAGAACGACAGCTCTGTGCCCTCCCCCTTCCCACCAGAGCACGCTGGGACTGGAGGCTCTAGAAGGCAGGAAGAGGAAGCAGTGGATCTCCGGCCCCCACCAGCAGCCCCTCTGTCTCCCCCACCCCCAGCCCCACCTGCTCCCCAGTCCCCTGGGGATCCCCTCATGAACCGTCTGTTCTATGGGGTGAAGGCAGGGCCGGGGGTGGGGGCCCCTCGCCGCAGTGGACACACCTTCACAGTCAACCCCCGGCGGCCCGTGCCCCCTGCGGCCCCCAGCACCCCCGCCACCCCAGCCACAGCTGATGCGGCGGTCCCTGGAGCTGGGAAGAAGCGGTACCCGACTGCCGAGGAGATCTTGGTTCTGGGGGGCTACCTCCGCCTCAGCCGCAGCTGCCTTGCCAAGGGGTCCCCTGAAAGGCACCACAAACAGGTAGGGAGCAGCCAAGCCAGACCTCTCAGAAGCCCGCTCCTCAGTTCTCTCCGGCCTCCTTTCTTTTTTATATCCCTGTATTCTTGTCCTCCTCTATTCTTTCGTGTTAATTCCTGCCGCCACCCTTCCTCCTCTACACACACCCTTCCTTCTTAGAGAGTTCATTTTCCATTCATTTCCAAGCCCAAGGATCCTGCCCCAAATCAAGTGCTGCCCCTGGGTGTGTCTCACAGGGTGTGCCCAGGCTGCTCACTCTTCATTCCCTCAGGCTCTGGGTCCCATCTTCCCCGCCCCCTCAGCTCCCCCCACACCCCCTGCCGCCGCCCCATTTCTTCCCTTCCTTTCCTCTGAGTCTGTGACCGAACACAGCCCTTCTGGTGGGAGACCTGAACCAAGGCTACAGCCTAGAATCTATGAGAGCAGGGTTATCAGGTTGAAAGCACATACAACCTTCCAAGGGAGTGAATGTTGGGGCAGGAAGCCTCAAGAGGCACAGGGGGTGGCTTTGGGGTTCTAGGGAGAAATGGCAGGGAGAAGTGAGTGGAGGAAGGTCTCAGTCCCAAGGCAGGCCAGAGCTGAATGAGGAGACGTCCTAGGGTGGGGGCAGGGGAATGGAATAGGGCTGGAGAACAGAGAGAAGACTTCTGAACCCCGAGTCTGCTCCATGGGAGAGGCGCACACAGAGGCCGTTTGAAGTGGGTGACCTCAGGGTTGCACACCCCCAGCTGGGCCACTGCTTTAGACAGTGCTCCCTTCTCTCTTGGGACAAGAAAAGCCTTCTCTTCTTCCAAAATACCCCCGCTCCTTACTCCCCTTCTTCCTTCCTCCCTGGGCTTCCCCTCCCTCCCCAGGACTGGCTCAGCAGTTGGTTTTCCCCTTTTTCCCCTCTCTTCCTGCTGCCCTGGCCTGTCCCTCCCTTTGGGGTAGCAGAAGAGAGAAGTGAATTTGGAGGCACGGTGCTGAGAGCAGGGAATACAATGGGAGTTGGGGACAGGGGTGGGGGCTGAGGCCAGCAGAGGGTCAGAGGTTAAAACTGGAAAAAGGACAAAGTGCAGGAAGTGGGAGCAGCCAGGCTTCTCGCCCTGGCTTCAGCCCAACCCCTTCCTTACACACCAGCTTGTTTCCAGCTTGAAAATCTCTAAGGAGAGAGAGGTCCCTGCACCTAACACATCTCTCCAGAGACCGGGAAGCCCTTCCTAGTCTCCAGTCCTCATCTCATCTGACATCCTCAGATTTGGTTTTTTCGTGTGTCCTGTCAGTGGGAAACCACAGGGACCAAAGACCTAGATGGAGCTTGCGGGTCACTTGGTCCCCCAATTCATCTTCATGTGAAGCTCATGCTCCCATCCTGAGC